CTGTTGACTCCTTATTAAACATGTATTTGTGTCTACTGTTGACTCCTTATTAAACATGTATTTGTGTCTACAGTAACTGTTGACTCCTTATTAAACATGTATTTGTGTCTACTGTTGACTCCTTATTAAACATGTATTTGTGTCTACTGTTGACTCCTTATTAAACATGTATTTGTGTCTACTGTTGACTCCTTATTAAACACGTTTTTCAATTACTACCGGATAGTAGATATATTTCACAGTAACCTGCTTGCATCGAGTATAAGAGGTTGTTGTTGTAAGTTTGCAACCAAATATGTTAAAATAGTGATTTTAGACTTTAAATTTGCCATTTCTCAACTGAGCTTAGAACATGTAGCTAATTAACCCAGAGTCATGATGGTAATAGAATAAATTTCGGCCTAGAGTAACGGAGAGGGTGATAACACTTTAATTGGCTCGGAGTCTTGAAGGTAATAACATACACTTATCGGCTCGGAGTTATGACGGTAATTGAAAACAGTAATCGGCTTGGAGACAGTAATAGTTAATAATAAACATTTATAAGAGAAAGTGCCATGCTCTCTGCACGTTAAGATACCTTGCAACAGCTCTTTCATGGGTCCGTATGTGGCCTGTTGCAAGACCAAATTTCTGTTCCTTTCCATTATATCATATACTCATTGGCAGTCTGTGTTTTTTGTTTTTTGTTGTATTGTAATTTTTTTTTTTTGGGGGGGGGGGGGGGGAGGGGGGGGAGGATTCATCTTTTAGTAGAATATTTGTGTTTATATTGATTTTTTTTGGATATTTGCTATTCCTTAGTGTTCTTACCCCTTTTTTTAAAACTCAGGGGTTCGCCACAGTAATATATATCATTCATAATATAGCATTGACTTTAAAATCAAAGGTAGCATGAAATGAAACTGAAAATATTATGAGTACCCTGTACTCGGTTCTAAAGACTGTTTTAGAAATGACTCAGTGATTTATTATGTATCGTAATATTGCAAGGTTATTGTAAAATGTTTCCAGTACAGAAAATTAGCATTAAATCGAAAATGGTTAAATTTGATCAACATTGTAATATGTTTTTGTGACTTATTGGGAATATATTATATTGTTCCTCACAAAATTACAGTTATAAACTAGAAACAAATCTGTTTTAAATATAAAGAATGCCTTCTTATTTACATTTTTTTCAAAACCCGGACTGTGTTAAAAAACCTGCACGTTTTAAATGTTGCTTCCGAAAAAAACATGGACAATGTAAAACGCTGCAATTTAAGAGAAATTCAAGGGAAATGTGCGTAGTTTGCGCTCAAAATAATCATAGTGTTCAGAATAAGATGAACAGCCATGAATAAAACTATTATACTTGCGAAATAACAGTAAATCGATCTGATCGAAAACCTGATCTACACTCGAATAAAGTGGAACGATTCAGTCGAATAAACACGATTTTAGCCGGACACTATATATACCTACCGTGGTTATGAGCTTTGCGCAATGTTTTATGACAATCGGTGATCTTCACATGTTTCCATCTTCGTATTGTGATCTCTGGTGGATAGTTGTCTCATTGGCAACCATGAATAATCCATTATTTGTATCTTGTGAGCTAGATTTCTTCCACGGCTTCCTTTAAAGTGCTGACTTGTTAGCCTGTCAAATGACTTTTGTTTTGAGTTTCCTTGTGAGCAAGCTTGTTGAAAAAAAACAAAAAAAAAACAATTGGACACTTCAATCTAGTATCAATTATGATATATTCAAATTACATTATCATGCAGTTGTCCAAGATGATTATGCATGAGATACTCGTCACCGATTTTTTAACATGCATCACGATTTTTCATGGGCAAAGAAGAAAATGGATCGACTTCTTCTTTATATATTAATATCATAATCCGCTGTATTAAAACGAAAACACTAAAAATCGCGCTCATGGTCCATTACAGTTATTTGAAATGTGAATGGGACTGAAAAGGGACAAATATAAAAGGAATTAGTGACATTCATTTTCGTGTATTTTAAGGTCCCCGCCACGGAGGAGGGGGCATTAAGTTTTACCCTTGACCGTCTGTCATCTGTCCGTCTGTCAGTATGTCCAAAAATTAGTTTTAGTTCTCTAACTTAAGTTTGCCTCCACCACATGCTATTAAACGTATACACAATGCTTATTACCACCAAACACAGATCAAGTCTGAAATTAGGTGGCATCACTTTCACCGTTCTTGAGGTCTGTTCCTTTATAAATGGAAAAAATGCTAAATTTGCCGTTTCCGCACTATTACTTTAGTATGCCTCAACCCAAATGATATAAAACTTATACACAATGCTTATTACTATCGAACACAACTCAAGTTCGAATTTGGGTGACGTAATTTTCGCCGTTCTTGAGTTATGTTCCTTTGTAAATTGAAAAATTGCAGAATTTGCCATATATTAACAAGCGGGGGCATATGTGTCTCATGGGCACATTCTTTATTATTTTCGTTTAAACACACAAATGATTAATTGATAATTCGAATTACACAGAATAATGTAATATTTATAGCAAATGTCTCAATCGATCACAACCGGTCTACAATCAATACTAATAACCCTATTTATCAAATGATGTACAAGATATTTATACATTTTCAGCTTTACTTATATGACCGTGTTTACACCACAAAATTACAAATTTTAAAATTTACTTTAATTGGAGACCAACTTGTGCATCCGAAAAAAATTTAAGGCATGGCAAGACTTAGATATATAATATTTACATACATTTTCTGCTGCAGAAAATTAAAATGTGCACTTTTTCAGTGCAGATGATGGTACATTAAACTAACACTTGAGATACGCTTGAAATGGTATACTCAGTTACACAGTCTGAATCACCAGTAGTTGTCAGATAACTATTATCCCTCTATTTCAAATTTCCATGTCAATCAATACAGGTTACTTCACTTATTACATATGGGGAAGCTCTCAAATATATTTCTCAACCTAGCTGAATTAACCATGATCATCTCGCAGAAAAAAAACCGCAAAACAAAATCCTTTTCAGTTTTTAATTTTCTACAGAAATGCATTTGAATATTATATATCTAGGGCTAAAAAATAAAACTTAAATTGTTTGATGTTGCCTACCTACCTATTTAAAAAGCAGCCTACCCGAAGAATTTTATGACACAATTTTTTTTCCTGATCTGACGTCGTTTTTAATTTCTTGTCAAAAACGTTACTCATGTTGTTGGCCAAAAAAAAAAAAAAATAGATTCTACCTACCCAATTCTACGAGACATGGGTAGGCAACATCAAACAAAGAATTTTTTTAGGGTGGCCTAGGTCTTGCCATGCCTTAACATTTTTCCAGATGCACATGTTTGTCTGCACTCGCAGTAAATTTTGTGATGTAAACATGACCATATAACTTAAAGATAAAAATAAACAAAAAAGAAATAAAGAAATAAAAAAAAACAAGGAAACGACAACATTATTTTATCACTGAACTAGCTTTCAGTAACTTGCGAGTACTCTTAGATCGGAACTTTGTGTTTTTAGGTCTTTAATCTTTTGTTATTTGCCTTTTATGCTTTGTGTCGATCTTGTGAATTAAGCATTTGTCAATTTTACAATTTTATCGTATGTTGTGCTATTGTTACACCACTGTCGAAGGGTTAGGGATAGACGATGAGCTCTCGCAAATATGTTTGACTCCGTCACATTCTGTATGTGCATGTTCGGAGCCTGTCATTCAGTGGTTGTTGTTGGTTGCCGTCAATCATATTTGTTTTGGCCAAAGGTTGGTCTTCTCATTTGAATTATTTTGCATTTATCTAGTTTCGCTCAGAATGTGTCCAATTCTCAATGATTTCACTCAAATGGTTATGCGAAAAAAAGCTTACTCTGCATAAACGAGATTGACTAAACAAGCTGTACAGTAATTATCAGTACTAAAATAACGTCATTAACATCAAGTTCCGTACTGAATGGACGAAAAGACTAATATAAAACAATGCTTTGGGTAGATTCTTAAATTTTGACTGACATGCTTTTAGTAACTAGACTTATCATATTAAGAATGACATCGTTGTTATCCCTCCATATTTAAAACCATTGATATTTCTTCTTCTTCCTTTCTTTTAGCTTTTTGGCTGTATTCAGTTGGATTCAAAATGTTCCGGCTTGTATTTTACATATGTTTATGCCCCCGCCGTAGCGGAGGGGCATTAAGTTTTACCCTTGTCCGTCTGTACGTACGTACGTACGTCCCAAGTTGGTTTCCGTTCTCTAACTTTAGTTTGCCTAAACCAAATGGTATGAAACTTATACATAATGCTTATTACCACAAAACACAGATCAAGTTTGAATTTTGGTGGCGTCACTTTAACTGTTCTAGAGTTATGCCCTTTACAAATGGAAAAATTGCTGAATTTTTCGTTTCCGTTCTCTAACTTAAGTTTGCCTCAACCAAATGTTATGACACTTATTCACAATGCTTATTACCACAAAACTCAGATCAAGTTTGAATTTGGTTAGTGTCACATTTACTGTTCTTGAGGTATGTCCCTTTATAACGTTATATGCAAGTGGGGCACCATCTGTGGACACATTCTCCATTTTTTTCTAGCTCTTTTGGTGTATTCAGTTAAATTTAAATTTTTCGGCTTATCATGCCCGCTTACATTGTTCACAATTTTAAAAGAAAATTGTAATATTTCTTTATGTGGGGCGTTTAAAAAAAAAGGCAGAAGATACCAGCAGTACAAATAAAATTCGTAGGTCGCACCGACAACGATAATTCCATGGCATAACACGGTAGTTTATCTTCTATTAAATAGAACCTGCATTTTAATAATTCATTCGTGTTTATGTAGAAAGCTCCGGTAGAATATTGCATTGCTGTTCATGTAACTTGAAATATATTAATCCATGACGGGAAATTGCATCGATACCAACCTCCAGCTATATTGTGTGAAAAAAATGAATATAAATTGCTTGACTATCATTGCTCACTTTTTTTTCAGACTGACAGTTTTAGCTTACAAGAATGGATAACAGACGTAAAGAAAGCAAAGAACAACCAAAAAGTCAAAGTAGGATGAGAAATAAACAATGGGATCGTGGATCCAAAGGTTTTGGTACTATTGAAGACAAGGAAAGCAAAGAACAACCAACAAGTCATCATAGTGGGATGAGAAATAAACAATGGGATCGTGGATGCAAAGGCTTTAGTACTATTGAAGACAAGGAAAGCAAAGAACAACCAATAAGTCATCATAGTAGGATTAGAGATCAACAATGGGATCGTGGATGCAAAGGCTTTGGTAGAACTGATGACCAAAGAGATCATGGATATAGTAAAAGGAACAGCAATAATTCTAGTAGGAAATATCAAAACAGGAGCTATAATGACAATTCAGACAGGAAATACAACGATAGAGGGAAGGGATCACAACATGGAAAATTTAAATCAAGCTTCGGTGAAGGTACACGGAAAATGGCACGACGTGAAGTACATGAACAAAAGTCAGAGTTGAAGATGAAAGGACAAAACTTATATCTTACAATTAATAATTTTAAAGGAAGTGAAGATGATTTGAAAATGTTTTTAGAGAAGATTACGAGCCGACGATTTCCAATTAGTGATTTCAGATATGAAGATCAAGCTGTATTGTGTACAGCAGAAATGTATAGCGCACGTCAGGTTAAAGATGTACTAAATGAATTTGTATTTCACAACAGGAAATCAGATGTGAAAGTTATTGCAAGACAAGATCAATTGGGACGTCAGATTCCCATAAATACATTGATATCAGAATGCAATGAAAACATGACGAGAGAGGCTAGTGACTTCATATCTATACATACAAGTAAGATAGAGAGAATTCAGGAAAAAATAGACCAAAATGAAAGAGAAGAAAATGAATTTACGGAGGATTCTGAACAAAAAGATGAAATTAAAGCACTGAAGTCCAAACTACAAGAGATGAATTTACAGAAAACAGAATTCCAAGGATTCTTGAAATGTACCATAGACAAGTTAGAGAAAGTCAGAGAATCTAAGAAGGTTGAATTAGAACTTAAAACGATCTACTTGGGATTTCAAGTCGAATGCACCCGACTAAAAAATGCTTTACCAATATACGCCCGACGATCAGATATTGTTTCAATGATAACAAATAATCAAGTGTCAGTTTTGTTAGGTGAGACAGGATCGGGAAAGAGTACCCAAATAGCTCAGTATATGTATCAGACTGGAATGGCAAACACAAGATTGATAGTATGTACTCAACCACGTAAGATTGCAGCCATTAGTCTTGCAACACATGTAGCACGAGAAATGGGAACATCAGTTGGACAACTAGTAGGATACAAAGTAGGTATGCAAATTAAGCAAACACGTAATACGAAGATAATTTATATGACGGATCATATGCTCTTAAACGAATGTCTGAAAGATAAAAATTTCTCTGCCTACTCGTGTATCATTGTAGACGAGGCCCATGAAAGGAGCATTTATACCGACCTCCTTTTGGGTATGATAAAAAAGAGTATAAAGAACAGACCAGATCTAAGAGTGGTGGTTACCTCTGCAACTATAGATCCTGCAGTGTTTGTGAGTTACTTCGGAACCTGTCCAATACTATCAGTATCTGGTCGAATGTTTCCGGTAGAAGTGGTGTGGACAGAAGACGAATCATCTTTTGAAAATCACGAACAAGCAGCATTAGACAAAACTATCGAAGTTCATCATAATGAAGAACAAGGGGACATTCTCACATTTCTTACTTCCCCATTAGAAGTGGAAAGATGCTGTGTTGCTCTTGAAGATGCATTAAATTCGGACACAGACTTTATTTGTTTACCCCTTCATGGACGTTTACAAGCAAATGAACAACAGAAGGTATTTGACCCATCTCCAAAAGGCAAAAGGAAAATTGTGTTTGCCACAAATAGCGCAGAAACATCGATAACTATTCCAGGAATAAAGTATGTCATAGATACAGGTGTCGCTAAGGAAATGCAATTTGATCCAAAACGAAACATAAGCATGCTTCTTGTTAAAACAATAACACAGAGTTCAGCAGATCAGAGAAAGGGGCGTGCTGGCAGAACTGATGCCGGAAAATGTTTTAGGTTGTACTCGTCAGAAACGTATGATAACATGGAACGTAATTCTCGACCGGAAATACTTCGAGTACATCTAGGACATGCGCTCCTTAAACTTATGGAGCTTGGTGTTGTTCCTTTGGAATTTGATTTCGTACAAAGTCCATCACGTGAACTACTGGACGCTGCAATAGAAACACTAGAATCGGTTGGGGCCGTAGTTGACAGAAAGATAACAGAATTAGGAAAATGGATCGCAAAATTGCCAATTGATCCAAAATTCGGAAAATTCATTCATGACGCAATTAATGAAGGAATAATTATAGAAGCCATCATACTTTCAGCTTGCTGTGCAGCAGGAGGTTCTATGTTTTATCGATCAGGAACAGAAGAAGAAAAAAGTAGAGCGGATAAACTGAAAATAAGATTTTGTCATGAAGGAGGGGATCTCATGACGATGATGAATGTGTTTAGAGAATGGCACGAACAACCTGAAAAAACGAAAGGTGTTTGGTGTACTGATAATTCTATAAACGGAAAGTCCATTCGTGGAGTACGAGATACGGTTAATGAGGTTTTAAATGTTTTGAGAAAGGATCAAGGAACGAAGCATAAATTTCAACTCAAATCACCATCAGATGTTGATAACAAATTACAGAAAATGTTGTTTGAAACATTCAGTCGAAATCTTTGTCATTTTTTAGGACACGAGAAAGCAGGATATCTGGTTGTAAATAAAGATCAACATGTGCAATTGTTTCCTGGATCTTCATTGAAATCACTAGGACTGTTGCCGAATTGGATCGTTATAGAACAAGTTTTGAAAACATCAAATGACTTTGCCATTAATGTTACCATTGTACCTGACGAATGGATATATGAAGCGATGAAGGAAGGAAGGATGCAGTTAGACATAGACAGCTTGAAAGAACAAAGAGTCGAGCAAGTTGCAGTGTTCGATGCTGGCGAACAAGTATTTAGAGACTTTGTTGGAGTCAAATATTCAAAAAAGCGAGAACTTGAAAATCAAATCAAGGAAAGTGGCAAAGGTAGATTAGTTTTTCTTGATACATCAAAGCAATTAGGAGAGATAAGTTTATATTCGCAAGAAATGAAACATGTTACAGAATTTGAAGACATCATCAGAGACAGAGTTGAAAATCTGCGACAAAAATTCAAGTATGAAAAAAGTGAACAATTTTTGTCTTCTGTACAGATTGGGGTTCGAGTAGTTATTGGAGCTGGTATGAATATAGTGGATGTCTTAATGGCAGATGAATATGCGACTATATTCATTACAGGAATACCAAAGTTTATCGAAAAAAGGACAGAGGAAGAGATGATAAATACGTTTGAAAAGTTTGGCAAAATTATTAAAATCGAAAAATTTAGAAAAAGCAAAAACAAAAATAATTGGGGCCGAATTACATTCGAGAATAAAGAATGTGCTAAACAAGCTGTGGTATCAATGAAAGAAGCCCTAGATATAGGAGCACGACCTAATACCGGCTTTCAAAGCGCAGACATTCGTGGATTTCGCACCAAGCTACAGTGGTGCAGACGACCATCAAAAGGTTTCGGATTTGTAAAATTTATAGACCCAACAAATGCCACGAGAGCACTAATCACACCGATACATGTTGCTGGTTCAGTTGTTAAAGTAGAATATAGCAAAAATGGAAGTGACGAATTGCATGTCAGCAATCTAAATCGCCTCGTCAATGAGGACGTTCTGCGTCATGGTTTTATGGATGCCTTAGATCTTGATGTAAATGACATCAAACGCGTGCAAGTCATAAGACAAAAGGTTAACACAGCAAGAGACATATTAGACACTTTCCGACAGCGCCTTCGTAGAAAAGTGGAAAAGTATGTACAGGAAGGCACTTATGAACTTGATTTGAGACCACCTAAGGACTCTGACTTCAATTTTTGGGCTTTTATCTCGTTTTCGAAACCAGAGGAAGGTATTGCTGCATGCGCAGGTATCGATCATAGTTTTGTTATGAGTGACCAAGTCGTCACAATGAAAGTCGACTTGAAAACGTCCATTATGATTCAGAAACTTGTGTACAATAAGTACAATGAAACTGTTGATACCTTAGTGAAATCATTACAAAAAACTGAGCCAGTAAATATTCAACAGAAAGAGTTACGAAACGGCAACATTATCATTAATTTACATTCTGATAGTGTTGAATCTATAATGAAAGTCAAGAGTGATATTCTGGGTGTTATAAAAGGGAGAGTTCTGGATATTGAATCACATACAAATATTAACAGACTGTTCACCTGGGATGGAAAAGAATGGATAAAGACCGTTATGGAAAAGACTGACACAGCAATCGTTGCAGACGAAAGGATTTTGTCCGTGTCCGTTCACGGAGAGAAAGAAAATCAACAGAGCGCTATAGATATGATGGAAGCTTATTTACAGAAATTGAAGACCAGCAAGTGTAAAACTATATTGCTAAAAGGAGATGACAAACCCCCTGGACTGATGAAAGAGTTAATGTTGCGCTATGAATACGACTTTAAAAAGCTAGTGAAGGAGTCAGGAATGAAATGTATCGAACTTGATCATCGATTGCATCTAATAACACTGATTGGAGAAGATCGTACAATAGAAGATGCCTGTGTAATAATAAATAGTGTTATAGAATCGATGATCAAAAATCGTAAGGAATACAAACTACAGCGAACGCACACACGTGATTGTGTTGTATGTTTTTGTCCAATCGAAGAAGGAGAAATATACAGATTAGAAGTGTGTGGTCATCCATATTGCAAAGACTGTGTTGAGCTTCAGTTTATATTAAGCGTGAAAAATAATACGTTTCCGCTTTCATGCAGTGATGAAGGATGTACGGAATTATTAGCATGGAAAGATATATCGAATTTGTCTCTAAGGACCGCAGTTCCAGTAAACGACGTGGTGAGGAAAGCTACCAGCTCATTTGTATCGAAGCACAGGAAGGATTACAAATATTGCTCAACACCAGACTGTCCTCTTATTTACCACGTGACCGACAAGGAATGTCTCTTTTGCTGCCCAGAATGCGAGGTTCGTATCTGTACAGCATGTCATAATCAGTTTCACGACGGTCTTACATGCTCAATGGTCGAGAGTATGAAGAAAGACGATGGGGGTTTGAACCTATGGATGATACAAAACATTGGACGAGCAAAGTATTGTCCAAGCTGTTCGACGCCGATTGAGAAAATTGATGGATGCAACTACTTGGTTTGTGCCGGATGCAATTCACACATTTGCTGGGCTTGTTCTGCCTTCTTCGATTCGGATACAGAATGCTATGGACATATGGACAGAGAACATGGTAGTTTTGTTTAGATTTTTTATAATTCAGAATTCTATGGGCATGGTGATAAAATACATGGCATTTGGTTAGAGTAAAACTATAATTGATAATTCAGAATGATATGGAAATAAGGATATAGACAATTGTAGAAACTATGGTATTGTCTGTTTTGTCTTAAGATTTATGTTGTACCCTTGGTATCTTCACTATTGATAATGTTGTATCATAATGCTTACATAAGTGAATATGGAATATGATGTCTTTGTCTTAATCATTTATAATTTAGAATCATAAAACTTATTCTGTGAAATCAATATCAACAAGTTAAGTAATCAATTTAGAAAAGGTGATTTTATATGATTGCGAAAGAAACAACTATCCACCAAAAGACCAAACATGAGGATGTTAAGAACTATATGGGTCACTATTCGGCCTTCACCAATGACAAAAAACCATTCTGTGTAGTAAGCTATAATGGGCATCGGAATAACAAAGTCTAAAACAATTCAAAAAAGAAACTAACGGCCTGATTAAGGCTTAAAATATTAAACGAAAAACAATTAAGAACCATTCCGTCTTGTCAGCTATAATTAAGAACAATACAATAACAAAGCAAAATAAAAGCAACAAGGAAATACGTATACTAACAATACAAACCCTGAGTTATATTGCAACTGACAAAACAAATCAAATGCAACGAGGAACGACTTATACAAACAATGAAAAAACTCGAGAGAGACATTGCAACAAGAAAACAACCAAAGGCAACGATGAAAGACGTATACAAACATATGAATAAACTCGAGAGGACAATACAAGAACTGACAAATTTAAAACATCGAGAAAAGATGTATACGAACAATGGAATAACCCTAGAAAATGAAACAGATCGAAACTAGACAAACGCAAAAGGAAAGACGTATATGAATAAGGCAAAAACGATACAAGAACGACAAAAGTAACTACTGTAACTATAAAAAAAGAGGATGTGGTATGATTGCCAATGAGACAACTCTATAATAAGAGACTAACTTACGTAGCAGCTTACAACTATAGGTCACCGTATACGTACGGCCTTCAACAATGAGCAAAACCCACACCGCATAATAAGCTACAAAAGTCTCCGAAATGGCAAATGTTAACAATTCAAACGAGAACACTTATCAAAATGACGTTATCAAATATCCAACAATAGCTAAACTCCGTTATTCCAAGGAGGTCTTTCGTTTTGAAGTGCCTATTGTGATAATACAGCATTATCATAATCTTCTTTCTTCCAAAATTACTAAACCACAAGCTTGGATTCGAACCCGAGACACTGGACACTTTAATCTACCTACTGATCTAAATGAATACTTCACTAATGGGATACGGGTAAATATCTAATCTACTTAATTATGGGAAGTATCGTCATTTCGTCACATTGGCATTTTGTATGGAAATGTAATACTACACAAATGGGTGGAGGTCATATATCTACTAGGTCAGGGTAATAACCACCACAGTGTCATCTTACATTCAACCACTTCATAATATGTTTGTCTTCAAAGCAGGAAATACAATTAACATATATGTGCAATCTTGTGTGAAGTTCAAGAAAATGGTTGAAAACTTTGAGAGAAGTTGTTCAAACAAAATAGGCACTATACCCCGCCCGTCCGCCCGACACCATCATTTAACAAGCTGGTTCGTCACTTCGTGCAACTCGCCCATAAATACACGAACTTTATAACTACATCGTTTTTTTGTTGTTCACGTTTAAATGATATTAATGTCAATCACCCATCTCATGTCTGTCATTCGGTACATCGAGAAAAGTGATCGTGAAAGAATAAATAACGGTAGTCAAGTATTGCGATTGGATCGTGAAGAAAATCTTATCGAGAAGACACATGCAACGACATTAAACAAACATGATTTTTTTTTTCATATTTTGAATGCACAAAGTACTTTCCTTTCAAAAAAATCGTTCCATATTACTGTTTACATTGGTTCTTAAAGTTATTTTGTTTTAGTATAGTCCGCGGACACTTTGCAAAAATTAAAATATTTGTAAAAATTTGATATTTCGGATCGTGAAAGATCGGGTACCATTTGTTGGTAAAGGAAAAGGGCCGTTAAAGATCTGTTGCGGATTATTTGTTATTGCAAATATTCATCCACGAAAACGACCAAACCATTCTTTAAACGCCTGGAAATTTATATTTGTGATTGGTTTAACAAAAAAATGCTCAACCCCGCAACATTATCTCTGTGTCTGTCCCAAGTTCAGTGGTTGTCGTCAGTCGTATTTGTTTTTGGTCAATTGTTTTGTTGAAAATTAGGCCGTTAGCTTTTTTTGATTGAATTGTTTCATATTTTTCATGTCAGGACCTTTTATAGCCGACTATACGGTATTTTTGTTTTTGTTGTTGAAGGCCGTACGGTTGCTTTAATTGCTTACATCCACTTCATTTGAACTTGGGTGGATAGTTGTCTCATTAGCAATCATACTACATCTCCTAATTTTCATAAATCAAAAGATTGGAACTACATGACTTATTCCGCTTCACTTTTGTTTGTGAATAGGGAAATGATGGTAATACCACACCGACTAGTTGCCCTATAACAATATAAGTCCGTCTGTCCGTCCTGCATAACTTTTATGTCGTATGAAAATATAAGATTGTCTCTTCAGATTTCCATTAATTGTTATGCACAGTCATATCTATAAAAATAAGGTCCTTGCTGATTATTGTAAAAATTGAAAAAAAAAATGAAAAAAAACAACATTGTTTTAAAACACCACAGGAAAACAACTGTCGTATTCTCGACTTGGCAAAGACATTTTCTTAGAAAATGGTAGATTAAACCTGATTTTTTTTATCTAGCTCAAACGCCCACTTGCTTGACAGTTGTTTAATGTTTAATAAAGTAGTAAAGAAGTAGGTAAATTGCTGCTTAGGTGATGAAAATCTATACTTTCCAAATTGAAATCATCACGTTTTTCGTAGACTCTGGTATTGAGATGACCGCTGTAGTCAAATTCGGGGTATATGTCTAAAAATGAGGCTGAGGAAGCTGTACGTACGTGGTGTCTGTAACCGCTACTTCAGGAGTATTAATGGGACCTGCATACAACAGTTTATTTATTAATGGAAAGAACATTAAAATGAAAGCATTAATTTGCGTTCTTGTTATACACACTTTAACCAATTACAAATATATCAAATGGTAAAAGAAATGTTGTTTTCTGATCATTAAGTCTGGTCACGTCTTGTCTTTCACGATTAGAATAATGCGTTGCCTGATTTTTCACGATCAATTTTGAAAAAAAATCAACAGAATTATACATTTTCAAAAATGATATCATCTTTTTCAAGTACTTAGTAATAACATACTTTTTACTGAACTATCTGACACACTAAAGATTAAGATTCAGATATATCATGATATATTGTGACCATTATTGATACAAAACGTGATATATTGGAATGTGACCATTATTGATACAAAACGTGATTTTTCTTAATGATTCTCATAGGATTGTGTGGGGTTTGTGTTTTCATATAAAGTACTGCATTTTTATTTTACGTATTGCACAGTTTTATGAAGAAAGTTCATAATCATTTGACAGAAATATTTAAGAAATAATTCATGTGGGCTTGAATTTGTACTGATTTTACCACGGGTTGGCCCTTTATGCTAAATATTTTACCACGTAGATGTTATGGTATGGTTGTCTGGGAAGTAAGCTTCTTCATTGTCTCCACCAGGTCCTCCACCATTTATTGTATTAAGAAAATTATGACGTTGATATCCGTTTGATTTTATAAACTAGTAGATGGTTGGTCTGCTGAGTGTATAGTTCCTTGTAAATCTTGACAGACTCTCAACAGAAGAACTACTTCTATGAGAGCTTGGTCTTGAGTTTTACATTTCGGAGGAAACTAGCTGTGAACAATGCCTATGCTGGTATTTGGCATTATTGTCGATGTTGAGGCAGGCCAGGATCGACTGACACCTATAAGTTTCAAAACACAAACTTTGACGTCTAAAAGTAGAATTTTTATTTATTATATAGCAATCATTTAATTGATGTTATACCAACATCACTTTCTTGGTCAGCATAACATTAGAAATTACCAAATATGGTAACTGTCCGAAATAGGGTCAAAATGTTGCATATGTTAATGCCCTAAATATGATAGAGGTCACTTTGACAATGGTGATAATAAATTTTTTTAACAAATTGAAGTAACCCATTGTATAAATAGTGATAAACAAAATGTTTACCATTCTTAATAACATAAAATTTGAAATGTAAATTTGGAATTCATTGCAGGGCCTTAACTTCAAGATATTTTATAATCAAAGTACTGAAGTACTGAACATCGGATGACCACAAGTCCTTGTGGATGGTCAAAAGCACTTGTCTCAGGAAAAAAATCACATATCTCTTTACCTGAAACTGAAATTAATGTACAGAGAATTATTTTTTTTCTGAGACAAGTTTGTGTGTGGATGACGAATAAATGACAGGAAATTACACTTCACCGTAATAACTTTTATGTTGTAGTGATACAAATCAGTATACACTGATTTGTATACACTGATTTGTTGGTATATATTATATTAGAATAACAGTTACATATATATATGATTTCCATCCATTTGTATATCATTCTATTCTACTATTCTACTTATGATAGTGCAATGCAAGTGCATGGCGGACACTTTTCTGTAAAAATTCGATTTTTCTAAAAGTTTGGATACGAGTAACCATTCATATTTTCATATTTTCCCGCAAATTATATTTATTCGAACCGGAAGTCCGCTTATTGAGAATATTGTGTCACGTTCCCAGACTATCGGTACGTGTGCATTGATATAATCAATGATTTTTTACTTATATATATATATATATATATATATACTACAAAACATTTTCATATTATTAATTAACAAAAATATTTGTATCAGTATTCATTGAAGAGATGTTTTTATATCAAACGATAAGGAATGTTATTTTGCACTAGTTTATGTTCGCGTATTTATCATGTTTATAGATCGGTTAAAATCCCAAAACTAATTTGCATAATTTATGCATTAATGGAAATTTAGGCGATAGCAATACATCGAAATGACCTCAAGGTCATCGCGATGTAAAAAATCTAAGGGCATCTTATATATATGCTAGTTTAGGACTTAATAAAAAGCGCTCAGACACAAATATAAAACAATACCAAAGGTCGTCAAATATGTCATATTTCTACAA